TTAACATGGCAGACAGTTAAAAAAAGCTCCAAATGACAGTTGGTAAAGAGAAAAATAGGTGGTATTTAAAATGGCAATGATAGACGATAATAAAACGGGATGCGAGTTCGAAAATGATGTGCTGCACCACGAGATCGACGCTGCGCCATGACCGCATTTTTTGTGGCCGTCCTGGATGATTCTATTTTATTACATTATACGTATACATTCATATTTTATTACATTATATATGTTCATATTTTATTAATATATATGTGCTCATTAAACAAATCTCACATAATTTATTTATGCTATTTAGACCAAACAATAGAGATTTTAAAATAAAATTAAAAAATATTTTATTTTTCGGTTTATAATTCGATATAGCAACAATGCAATTTGGATGCACGATTCTTTGTTAATTTTGAACCTCAATATACGCAAATATAATTAATTTGATACTGTTTTATAGACTAATTTTTAAAAGGTTTATTCATAGTAATTACGTATTTGGAACACGTGAATCGCTGAAAAATTAATCCCAATTTGATGGTTAATTCAAATTTGTCAAAGCGAAATAAAATTGATAAAATCAATACAGCTTTAATCGAAAACAATTTCAATCAACATTAAATTTCCACATTTAATACTGTAGCTTCTCAATGAAAGTCTTCGTGAATAAACTTTGCAGATTTTTGATAACAAATAAATGCCTTATTTTCATCCTTTTAACTTCAATTCCACGTTGATAACAATAATCAAGATTAAATAATCCATCAGCATTCAAGAAACGGCAATTGTAAGAATGGACCAGGGTCACTAAAAATTTTTAGATACTATCAATATTTCACTGAGCAGTTCAATATTTGAACCTGCTACTGATTTGGCATAGACGTATCTAAAAAAAAAAAAATAGTTTTTGAATGGTATGTATAGTCATACTTGAATTTTATTAAATATAAATTCTTATCTGGTTTTACCTTTCGCTTTTGCATCTGAAAACACACTTCCGGTGAGCTGCCAATTATTTTTTAAAAATACTAGGTTTTCAAATGTGGTAGGTAAAAGAGATGTTCTTTTTACTGTCATTGTATTGCCGGCATCACTAAAAAGTCTTTCACTTGCATTCAAGTAGCCGGAATAACCAAATACTTTCGGGCCAACTTACTCAATACGGGAAACCTTTTTTTGGTTAGTGTGCCACCAAGCTAGTGGACACTGACCCACGGAATTTCTTGAACTCCAATATAATCAGAGACTTCCGATCGTGAGTATCTATTATTAAACATTGAAGCTAGTAAAGAATTTGAATTATTTTGTATATTATTATTTTCTCCTATTCCATATAAAACCTGTGATTCTTCATATTTATCTTTAAGCAATTCAAAAGTCCTGGTTTTTTGAGATTCTGACATAAAGGAAAGAGGCTTGCATCGAGGATCTAAAAGTGTTGCTAGTGCAATTTTATTACTAGGCACATCCCAATAATGCATCATAGCATCATATAGTGCTGACTTTACTTTGTCTTTAAGATTTCTACAATTTTGTGGAGTATTAATATTAACTTGACGTTTTGCACCTGATTTATCATTTTCATGTATTTCATCATCCTCATCTTTATAAACAACATCATCTTTAAACGCATCATCAAGAGAATCAAAGTCTATATTTGAGGTTGTAGTAAATGAAAGAAGCCCTTTCTTTATTGCCATAATTGCACTATGCATAAAGCCGATAGTAACATATTTGCTACCTTCTAGCAACTCTGTTGCTTCAGCAAAAGGCCTTAGCACTGCAGTTAATAATGATATTGTGTTCCATTCGGCACTTGTCAAATTAATTTTCTCTAAGCGAGAACCATCCTTCTGAGCCTGCAAATCATTGTTTAATGTTAAATTAGTTATCATCATACTGACAATACTCTGAATTTGTATAAGTCATTTCCAGGCAAGATATGACGAATTCCATCGCGTAGGGACATCGGCAATAATTCGTAATTGATGGTCATTATTTTCCAGATCCTAAAAATTAAATAATTATAAATAAAATCAGTTTTGGTATTTTAATAAATTTATTTATAATTTATATAATATTAAATATTGTTAATTTATTATATTAAATGATTACAAATTATCAATTTTTTTTTTTTTTTTTTTTTTTTTTTTTTTTTTTGTTTTCTTTTTTTTTTTTTTTGTTTTTTTTTTTTATCTTTTTAAATTTTTTT